CATTTATTTATTCGTTTAAGGGGGTATTCTGGTAATCCGGCTTAAAAAAATCAATTTTTTTTTACATTTTCTCAAATTATATGCTTTCGAAAATGTCTGTGTAAAAGGATTTGTTTGAATTCGTAAAATTAGCAGAGTTACAGATTTTTAAAGGAAACAGTGTATTGCTCGCATGAATATTTTTGTACAACGGATAACAAAAACTTCAAATGTGTTTTTCTCAAAAAATATTTTATTTTATAATATTATTATTTATTTTTATATTATTACTATTTTACAATATTCTGTTTTTTGTACTGCTCGATTGATCGTAAGTATGAATATTTTTGTACAACGGGCAACAGAAACTTCAAATGTGTTTCTCTCAAATCCATAGTTTTTAAACTGGCTGACAGGATATCTGACGTTTTAACTGACCGATTTGATTTGAAATTTAGGGGAGATTTTCACCGAATGTATCTTTATCGAATGTCAAAATCTGATGTTTTTTTTCTATTTATTTTTACCACTCAAAGGACAAAAAGCACAAGGAAAAACGATATTTTAACTTCAAAATGCTGCCATTTTTTTAATTTTCGAAATTTTGCTGTTTCCATGCGATAGCCATATTTATACTAATTAACATGCATTTCGGTTTTTTAGTTTCAAATAACCAGGACCGAAATCACGTTCTTTTAAAAACACGCTTTACCCAAGGCTATATAATTTCCACAACTTTCATTAATTTTATTAAAAAAAAAAATTGTAAATACTCTTCAAGTATGAATAAATCTGTATGCAAAAACTGCATACCAAAAATGTATCATGGTTTCCATGGTATCCTCAAAAAGTCGATTTTTTTCAAGCCGTATTACCAGAATAGCCCCTTAATTAGAAAATTATTTGTTTAATTATGAAATTGGAACGATGTCGAAGAAATTCTACATTCAACAACGAAACACATTATTACATTTCTTATCGTACTCACGATTACAGTTATTAAACAATAAATAGCCAGATGCGGCCGCAACCGCACATTTCCAAAGACGGATGCATCGGCTATAAAATTTCACTTGACGTTTCGCGTGCAAACAACCACTTTGGCCATCGTGTAAATTCGTTCACACTGTAGTACGTGTGTGTGTGTGTGTGTGTGTATGTGTGCAGCGTTTTGTTCAATGTTCAAGTTCAGACAACGAAATGAATTCCCTTATCTAAACGAGATTCCAACCTCTGTGAGGTCAGATAAGGAACACTCGCGTAATGATTGTTTCCGTGATATTCTGCGGATCGTTAAATATCTTTGAAATTTCTGCGAGTAGTTGTTTTATGAAACAAGACATTATCCTGAATCTTCTCTACAAGAATGAAACTGAAAGCGCAAAAAAGACAGAAATCAAACAGTCGACACTGTTTCAGTGAAAACATTCGCAAACAGCTTTAAATATTTTTTTTTTTTTTACCGCGTAAAATGATGTGATTTAAGATCGAATTTTCTTCTGGTTTTTTCGCGAGATCGATCAGTCATATGAAACGTTTGTTAATTGAACCGTAATTCGTCAATATTTTAATAAAATTCTAAGAGATAGGTTTGAGATTTTTATTAACGAGATTGCAAAAAATTACCAACCAAAGAAATTTGAAACATTGTAGTACGAATTGCTTCAAACAATTTTTCAAACATGTAACAGTTGTGAATACCGTGATACATTTCTTTGAAATTTTTCTTAATTGTCAAAACATTGCATACGCCAGAAAAATTCTACATATGGTAAGGAATTTTGAAACATTCAAATTCTTTTAAGAAACAGTCATAAATACGGCGAAGATTTATCTCTTCGAAATCTCCATCATTTAATTGTGTCAACAGAGCTGGGTAATATTTATAGAGAAAATATTTTAAATAATGGATTCATCACAATTCAAATAAAATTGTATTTCAAATAGGACATAAAGTTTCAGTAAATAAAATATTTTATTTTGATATTCAAACAGCTAAAGTATGAAAATAAATATTTTGTTTTGATAATCTAAAACATAAAATAAGATATTTTTTTATTTCAATAACATAAAGCGTAAAATAGAATACTTCTCATAAAATAAAATAAATTGTGAAAATGATTAACGTAACGTTAAACGAGATAACGTAAGAAATCACAATATTTGCAACCGAAATTTATTTTCTTTTTAAACACAGCTATTCGCATGCAACAAAGTGCATCGCTCAAAATTTTCATCATTTAAACTACTACTCCTTCGTAGACGAAAAATTAAGCCAGCGAAACTGAACAGTCTTTCAATTGGAAGAGCAGAAGACGGAATTGGGGTATTATATTTTAAAAATAATTGTTTCACGTATTTATATTTCGTAATATTTTGAATTTGCAAATCCTATATCGCCTAAATATTGCAATAGTTCAAACTCTGCAATGTTGCCACCATTGTCCACAATATCATCACTGTGTGCTTCCATAAAGGAAAAGAAATGATCAATTTCTATGTCTTTCATTCTGTTTTGAGAAAATGAAGAAGAAGACTGACTTATTGAAAGTGAATCTGGATAATAAATTAAAGCTGATAGTAAATTAAATAAATAAAGCATTCCTAACTATGGCACAAATATTTTCAGCGTTTTTCAAATAAAATACTATTTGAAATGTTATCTCAGAAATTTTTCACAACAAATTAAATATTTTATTTTTAAAAGTACACTCTGTCGAACAAATAAAATATTTTATTTTCAAACATACATGCGTGATATAAAATAAAATATCTATTTACTATTTGCCATTTAAAATAGTATATTTATCCAGCTATGCTTGTCAACTATCTTAATCAAGTACACCATTCGCTGAACAATGTTTAATTTCAATCAAGTAGTTTTGCGTAAACTGTTCCAAAACACCACGTATATCAAAAGAATTCTATTCACTGTAAGGAAATTTCTAAAAATATTATTTACTCGAAATGGCAGTTTAGTAAAAATTTGATGTACTCAAGCTGGTTTTGAGTAAACGTCGCATATACCAAAATAATTCCCCACGCGGCAAGATAATTTTAAAAATGTGTAAAAATCTTTATGTCTATGTGTAAAACTCTTGTGATTACGTAGTCGTGAATACAGTGATGTATCTTTCAATTGTCGTTTTAATCAAGCTCAGTGCCAAAACGTGTGCCAAAAGAATTCTATGATAAAATAATTTTAAAAATGTGGAAAAATTTTTTAACACGTAATGAGGATAACAACAATCGCTTTCTTGTAATATATGTACGTTTGTTAACGACCTTAAACCTTATTTGAAAAATTCGATGCACCGAATTCGTGCGTTAAAATTTGCACGAAAAGCCTCGGCTTCACTCAAAATCTACATATATACAGAGTGTCCCATTTTAATCTACAAAAACAATTATTCGTCATTTAAAAAATGTCGAAAATACAGTCTTTTTCTATTTTGAGAGAAAAGTATGGTTGAATTTGGTACACTTGATTTGTTTCCATTTAGATAGATGCGTCTAGGAGATATTATTTTTTCAAGCATAAATTTGTAATTTTTTTTTCTTTTTCTTATATCAATCGATGCAGAAGGTCGTTTTCTAAAAACGTACCGACTTATCTACGTCTAAAACCCAGTTTAGGAGATATTTTGATATTTCAGTGCTGCAGTCGTTTTTGAAATATTATTCTCGCGACTAATCTGACGTACACGTGCGTACACATCATTTGTTACAGCTTATCGAACATTGAAATATGTCTTTTCTTCTGGACCTGTTTGTTCGTCTAATATATAGATACAATATAATAAGCAATCTCGTCTAATTCCCAACGCTAATGATTTTAATCGAATGCCATCTTTCTGCATATTTTTCCCAACAAGAGCACATAACACCTGAGATTGAATAACTTGGAAAGAAAAATACTACGTATTCTCAAGATTGAAATCTGCTAAACTAAACTAAGTTTTAGACGTAGGTAGGTTAATATTTTTTTGTAGAGATCGACTTGCCGCATCTATTATATATTATATATATATACAATATATTATCTATTATATATTATATATATATTATTATCTATTATATATTATATATATAGGCATATATAATATATAATAGATGCGGCAACTTGAAAAAAATAATAGTGATTTTCACATCTAAGTACATAACTTGAAAAAATAGCAGTGATCTTCACATCTAAGTATACATCTAAGTATAACTAACCTACAATAAGCGTACCAAATTACTGTACTGTTAAAACAGGAAATGCATTTGAGACATTTTTTAAACGACAAACAGTTTCGGAGATAATTGCTTATTATCGATTAAAGTGGAATATCCTGTATATGGTATTCAAAAGATACGACCGGTTTCGCGAGAAACTTTGATACTCACATCCCCTTTAACCTCTTGCGCTGGAATGACGTGCCACGCACGTCGACAATTTATTTTGTCCCAAAATTGCAACATTTTCTCAGTATTAAGTATATTTAAGCACAACCCAGGCACACCAAATAATAAATTTATTGCCGCTCAATAATTTCTATCCAACGACATCACACCGACGAGTTCAAAAGAAAAAGAACGCGACGAATTATTGTATACGGTTCGGTCACTCGTTATGGTCCGCAATCGGTTGCCAGCGCAAGAGGTTAACCTTTTGCGCTGGAATGACGTGCCACGCACGTCGAGAATTTATTTTGTCCCAAAATTGCAACATTTTTTCTCAGCTTTAAGTATATTTAAGTACAACCCAGGCACACCAAATAATAAATTTATTGCCGCTCAATAACTTCTATCCAGTGACATCACACCGACGAGTTCAAAAGAAAAAGAACGCGACGAATTATTGTCGCTCGTTATGGTCCGCAATCAGTTGCCACAGCCGATGGCTTGATTAAAGATCAATATTTTTTGTTCGTCATCAAGTGTAATCTAAATTTCCCCCGTCGAGATAAACTCGAAGAGTGGCGCGAGGAGGTTAGGGTGTGGGAAAATGAGGAAAATCCGAAAAAAAAGTGACTCACCGTGAGGAGATTTGGGTACGTAGAGGTTCAAATATAGGCAGTCTTCGCTCTGGTTGGCCAACAGCGGCGCTAGTCTCTCGAGGTGAGCGCGTTTCGAACGGGGCTGGCTCGAGTCCGGCTCCGGTGGCTTTTGGGGGCAGGCGGGTGGCATCGTGTCGGCCAACTTGATGCCGCGCCATGGTGTCGGCGTGACCGGCGGCATGTATCGCAGCGATCCAACCGGCGGCGTGGCGTACGGCACGCCGTAATAAGCCTCCACGGACGTGGACGATCGGTCCTCGACGCCGCGCAACGTCCCGTACCTGGTCCTGATCGTTCGCGTGCTGTACTTCTGGCTGCCGGCGAGCGCCTCCGCCCCTCCGGAGCACCAATGTCCGCACAACAATCCGAGGAACACGACCATCGTCGCCAAACACTTTTTCGATCTGCTCTCGTAACGAGTCTCCACCGATCCGTCCCTGATCGGGCTCCGGCACTCGCCTTCTCCGCCAGTCGTCGAGTATCCAACGTTCGAACGCCGCGGTGAGCGAGCCTCGCGATCGGCGTCGGCAACTGCCGATGGCCAGAGGCATCGCTGGAAGACGTTATCGACGCGAGCATCGCGCAAGAGAAACGACAGGCCGAGACTATTGTCCAACGGAGGCAGTCTTCTTTCGATAGGGTCGAGAGGCGAGAGGTGTTTCCTCTTCCTCGGAGACGAGGAGGAGGACGTCCGCATCGCGTCACGCCGCCGCGGACTGGCCCCTCCGGGCCCCGCATCTGTGGGGCCCTCCTGCCAGGGGACCTTTTTCCTCTTCTTCCTCTTCTTCTTCTTCTTCTTCTTCTTCTTCTTCTTCTTCTTCTTCTTCTTCTTCTTTCTTTTCCGCGTCTAACGCTAAATCACACTCCGCCTTGTCACCCTTTTCTCGCCCCTTTATCGCTTCCTCTCCCCCTCCGCTCTCAGTCTCTTCGCGATCCTCGCCCGACTGCCAGTGCAACCCAACACTGTTCACCCTCTCTTTCTCAGCGACCCGAGTCTGACTGAACAACTTCACCGTGAACCCGCGAATGATCGGTGCTAACGCGCTCGTCGGCTGCCAGGCTCTCAATTCCATCCTCGAGGGCGTGCGTGGCCGGCAAGCAACTCTCGCGAGTCGTCGTTTCTTGGTTTCTCGGTCGTCACCGTCACCGTCACCGTCACCGTCGTCGTCGTCGTCGTCGTCGTCGTTGTTGTTGTTCGTCCAAGGAACGACGAGCTCGAGTCGACGTCGGCGAATGATTTTGATGAAAGCATCGGCGGCGAGGATCCGAATTTTTACACCTGTGGCCAGCCTCTGAGAGAAGGCTGAGAGGCGGAAAAGAGCTTCCGGGGAATCTGCTGGCTGTGCGACCTGGCTGGCGCTTCGACCGGCGAAAGTTTTCAAAGTTCAGTCCGGCGATGCAGTGTAGGGGGACAATTTGGCAATTTCACTCGTGTCCTCTTGCTCGTTATCGATGCGTGCACTCTACTACTCAATTCCTCGATAGTATTCGTAGGCAGCTCGCGCGGAAGCTTCACCTGCGATTCTCTGCAACAGAAATAACAACACGATTGTATTCCAAGACAGTCGTTTTAAATCTGGAATTTATCGAACTGAGAGAAGGAAAAGTTCTTTAAGAGATTAGAGAAAAGTTCATTTTATCATCTGTAAAGACACTGTTCAAAACAGTGAGTCTCTAGCAGCAGTGTAAGCCATTGACCACTCTGACTGCAGCTGGACGTTTGCTGCACTGCAGCGACCACTTTGGAATAAAAGATTTTTGCGCTGAATAAGCGATTCTCGTTTAAACTCGAGATACTCTATGTTATGTCAAATCGTAACATCAAGTCTACAAAAACGATAAAATTTTGATTTTGATTTGGTGAAAATTTTTCAAATAAAAGAAGAAGAAAGTATTTAGTTGTTCATGGTCAGCTAGAATACGTGTGTGAAATGCTACGAAAGTTTGAAACAAGGCTACTGTTTCGTAGAGCAATAAGTGCAATGATAATAGGCAAGGCGTTACAAGGCTGCAACGAGCAACTATAAATAGAAAATGATTTTTAATCCATAGCCAAAAGTTTAAGACCGCTACACATACGTGTATTTACGTTAAGAGAAACATTTGCACTTTTATTTAAGAAATTTTTCACCCATCTTTCAAATATTAATATTTATAGAGTAAATTTAAAAAGAGGAAAGAAGAAATAACTCGACATTTGCAAGCAATTTGTAACACTATAAATATACGCTTTTCATTTTCAAAAAATTCTGTTATTTCATTATCCTAGGTGAATTTGTTTGAATTATACAAATTATACAAATTTAAAATATTAACGTGTTTATTGTTCAGTGAATTTATTTATATTTTCAAATGACACACCGAGACAACTGTCCTGACAGTTTTTCTTTTGAACGAACGCTTAGGATTTAAAGGCATGATTACTTGGAAAAGACATTTGCGGAAAATTAACAATTGGCCTTGAATTTTCGATCGACAGCGTATCTCTCGTTGTTAATTTACGTTGATACAGTGTGGATGAAATTTCTACAAAAACACCACAATTTCCACAAATCATCCAATTACCAAGAAATCATGCTTCACTCTTTAAATCGATATTAATATTGCTATGTCGTTACTGTTGAATGGTACGCGCAAGTATACGTTCGAAAAATTAGTTTGTAGCATGAAGGATTATATTCGAATAGAGGTAGCAATATCAAATATTAATATTATTCTCTTTTACAATTTAACAAACGTTATAGAAATTTCGTATTTTTACACTTTATACTATTATGTTTCTTGTACGACAGAAATGTAACGATTTTTTAATTCTTGCTAATAATCTTCTCACTTTTTATCATTCTTTAGTCATTTTCTAGACTTTCTTCCTTTATACCTACAATATTTTTGTTAAAAAAAAAGCTGGCGTTCTTGTGGAAACTTTGTCCACTGTAATTCGTGCGAGTGCTGATGCTAGATTTCTAATCGAACCCATGCGAAACGAGTGGAATCCAAGACGAACGTAACAATTCTACTTTTGCGAAATCTCGTCAAATTTAATAGAAAAGTAAATATATTAAAAGACACAGCACGGGGACGCCACAGGCATTTAAACAGACGATTAGGTTGGCCAATTAGTAAAAATGAAAAATCAAAACGAACATTTTTGAAATGAAAGGAAAAAATTTGACGCAAATGCGTAAAAAGATTTGCAATGTGTACAATGAAAATGCTTTATCAGCACGAGTGTGCTAAAAGTGATTTGCCAAATTTTATTCATGGTGATTTCAACATTAAAGATGCACCACGCTCAGAAAGACCAGTGGAGATTGACAGCGACAAAGTAAAGGCGTTAGTCGATGCAAATCATCGCTACACGACACGAAACGTGGCAGAAATTTCAAACGTATCAAAATCAAGCGTGAAAAATCATTTAAAGGCGCTTGGATACGTGAGTAAACTCGACGTTTGGACACCACACCAACTTGTTGTTGGACAAGTTCATCTGATTAAACGCATTACCATGTGCGATCCACTTTTGAAACGCGAGGAAAACGATCCATTTTTGAAACTTACGATAACAGGCGATGAAACATGAATCGTTTACAGTAACATCGAACGGAAAAGATCGTGGAGGAAGCGTGACGAACTGGCCGAAAGCACTTCAAGAGCAAAGATTCATCAAGGGAAGGTTATGTTGTCAATTTTGTAGGATTGGAAAAGCATCGTGTTTTTTCAAGGAATGAAACGATTAATTCGAGCGTCTACTATCGACAGCTGGACAAATTAAGCAATGCCATTCGTAAAATACGTCCAGAATTAACGAATCGCAAAAGAGTTGTCTTTCGACGCGACAACGCCAGACCTCATACGTCATTGGAGACTCGTCAGAAATTGTTGCAGTTAAGATGAGGTTCATCCTCCTTATTCACCAGACTTTGCACCATCAGACTTTCACTCTCTTCGGAATTCTCCGAGAGAAAGAAATCTTTGACTTGACGATGCATCTTTGATTAGTCTTTTGCCACGAAAACCAGGACATCTTTGAGCACGAAATTCTGAAGCTGTTGGAAAGATGGCAAAAAGTAATGGATTCAAACTGATCCGATACGTTGTTGAACAAAGTTGTTGTTTAATGCGAAAAAGTTTTGTATTATACATTCAGAAAACAGAATACCCTCGAAGTGAAATTGCATTGATGTGTGCGACCTTGTCAGGCACACTAATGAGATAATAACGTCTGGCGCCGAAAATCAACGGGGTTGCCGTAGACGTTTGAACGAGCTTTTTCAGTCCGTCGGGAATTACGTCGGACAACTCAATTTGTAACAAGGCCGGTTTCCAGTCGCCGCAAATGACACGAAAACCCGATAATACCGGTTCCGCGGCAATGCGAGAATTTCCAATTTCCAAGTTGTACGCTCGCTTTAAACACAATCCTTTGCTTCAGCTTGTCTAACTTGTCTCCCTTCTCTCTGCCTCTCTCCTTTCTAAGAAGTAAATCAAGGCCGATCGTAACGTGTGCGCGTTAGTTGTACACAAATTTCGAGCGACGTGTCAAATTTGATGACACTGCAGGATTTGATTCATTAAGCGAATCGTTGATTAAACTTTACACTTTAGATTATCAACACATCTCCAAGTCAAGTGAATTATCTACCACGTGCACGATTGATTTGCGCCTGTTTTCAGACTTTTTTTTTCCAAACGAATGGTTTTTGGATTCTGATGCAAATCGCAACGTATGAAATATCCAAAGTATAATATTTGCCGCGTGAAACAGTTATTTTCTGTTGAAACTTTTATTTTCCGTTAGAGACGCTGAATTTGCATGAAAATCCGCAGTCCAGCTATTGAAGATTTATCTCAAGCTTCAAATTCATAAATTTCAACACTCTCACATAAATTGAACAACTTTTTAAATAATTCGCTCATTTTCCATAAAACGTTCCACGTTTCGAACTTTCGGCAACTGTAACGAAAACGTAACTTGCTTCTAATTGATAAATTAGATTATTTATTTTTTAAAAGACAAGTTGCACTTATTTTATTTAAAAGTACAAAGACAATGCATCAAATCTATCTTTCACTTTTATGAGTTCACACACGTCGCGCACTGTTCACTTTACTTGACAATAATACAATTCTAATCCCAAGGGGATTAATTGATTAAAGCCAAACGACGTGAATCATAGAAATAATCCGACGTATGCATATTCCAAAAGATATTAAAGAATACGTTCACGTAATCCAAAGTTCAGCAAAACCTACATCCATCACACGTGATTTGTATAAATTTTCGTCAAAAATATCCACCTAATGGGAAGAGCAGACAATAATAAACTGCTCAGATTAAATGAAAAATCTAGACAAGAGTCTCGATTTACTGTTGACGAGGAATTTGTAATCTGCTGAATAACAGTAGCGATTCGTGACACGTCATAAAGAAGGATCCAAGAGTATAATATGTGACGTGTAGCTACACTGCAGACAGGAAGCAGGTGCAAATCACGTAGCTGTGTGCGAGAAAGTTGGAATAGTTTTACACGTACTTTGACACACGTACGTGACAGTGAAACTGATAATGAAGAAAGCTCAAAGTACAATCAAATTAACCACCAAGCGTCAATTCAAGTTCGAATAAAACCAATTAAAATAAATCGAAAAAATGTTTACGAAATTTGCTTGTCATATGCAGTGACGGAAAAACTAAACCGTAATACCGTAAAAAGAAATTTGAATATAATCATTCTCTCAGATAATTACAACCGAGATCTCTCCTTGCGTAATTTTTTTAAAACATTGTAATGTCGGAAAACTTCGATTCTAAATGTTTGATTAGTGTACGTTCGCTCGTGGATTTGCTGTACAGTAATTTATTTCTGTGTTGGAATCGTAATCTAATCAGTCGAAAAGCGGCAGCATCGACGAACGGCGTGTCATGTCCAAGGGAACGATTGAAAAGCTACCAAGAATCGTGTCAACCTCGTCAAAACATTCCAAATTACAAATTGAATTAAACTGTTCGTCGATTCGCCTGTCAGAGGCTTCGATCGTTGCAGCTGTGAGCTAGGCTCAGCTAGACTTGAAAAGAGGATCAAAGCGTCGTCGACTTTCGAACGCAGCTGACCGAGATGTCCATAACTGGAGACCATTGTCGAGACGAATGAAACACGGGAAATCGGAATTCCCAGCTTGCAGCAAAGAAACCTATTGACCCGTGTCAATTTCACGCGTCTCTCTTGCAAAGTATGCTAGATCCACATCCCAGGGCAGGTCACGCACAATTTTACAATCCGTTCGTAAACTTTCGTCAGTTGGTAGCAAGTTAAACTGGACGAACGGGAGCCAGCCTCGGTCAAGTTAGCGCAATCGATCCTCGAGGAATTACAGACGGAAGCCAGGATGAGTCTGCAAACTTTCCAATCGAGATGTCGACGCCCTGACTCTTGCAAACGTAAACCCGAACTCGATCGCGTGTTTCGACAGATAAACGATAAACCTGAACTATGGACGTTTTAGGTGTTGACCGCGACAAAGTTATTGGAATCAACTCGAGAGGAAAAAGATGAGTCGGACGTCGGTGCTAAACAGCTGTTAGTCGACGTTCGGAGAACGGTTAGGCTGGGAAAGTTTTTGCGGAATCTTTTTCCAACAACCGTAACTGAAGCGCCAGCCGAAACTAAAACTTCTCTGTTCTCGCGACAAGGTATTCGCATACCTTGGAACTTGAACGGCTTCGAGCAGTTAACACTTGACCGATTCAGAATCCTCGACAACAGGCAGAAAGAATCGAAACCGTGATGTCTCACCAGTCTCACTCGGCGCACTCGGCGTTTTCGAAATTTCCGCACCAGGCCTCGCCGATATCTCTCGTCGACGCACAGTCAATACGTTGGAGCTGGCTTTGTTCGATCAACGAGCATCCGATAACGGGACGGCGATCGTCTCCGACTGCTCCAGTCCGATGCGTCAGCACGCATCGCGGCCGATGGAGAATCGAAGGAACTAGTAATCAGACGATCCGATGGTATCGAATCTCCACGTCTAGTTCACAAACTGGTACACCACCTGCATCCTCTCTCTCTCTCTCTCTCTCTCTCTCTCTCTCAACATCACTATCCACGAGGTGTCTTCATTCTCCGATCGCTCCTCTCGTCGCAGCTGTCACTGCTATTTCCGCCGGAAGACGTTCGCGCTCGCACCGTTACGCGTCACCGACGATCACGTCTCGCACGCTCGTGAAATTTGCAGCGACATTCGTGGAGGGGGAGGGGGGAGGGGGGTGCGTGGGGGAGAAAGGGGGAGAGAGAAAACGAAACAAACGCGAAAGAGACGACAAACAACGGACGGGGGAGGGAGAGAGGGGGGAAGAAAACGGAAGCGAAACCGTTGATCTGGCGAAGCGATCGCGCGTATGTACGCGACCAACTGACTGACCAAACCCGATCCGACGACCAATCCCAGGGACGACGACACGCACCCTCCGTGTGCGCGTTCGGCAGTCTGTCCCGGGCTCTACTGACGGCCAACCGCGCGACGATGGAGGTGGCGGTGCTGGTGCTAGTGGTACTGCTAGCTAGCTGCTGCTGCTGCTTGCTGCTGTTGCTGCTGCTGCTGCTGCTGCTGCTGATGCTGATGGTGGTGGTGGTGGTGGTGGTGGCAGTGGTGGTGGTGATGGTGGTGGCAGTGGTGGTGGTGCTGGCAGTTGCTGGTGGTGGAGGCGGTGGTGGAGGTGGTAGTGATGGTGGTGGTGGTGGAGGATGGTCCGGCACTTGAGGAAGCCGGGACACCCACGGCGCCGACGCCTGGTTTCGTACCGACCGCCAGTCCGGTCGATAACGCCACGGCAACCCCCGGGTCGTTCCGGCTCTCCTCCTCTTCTCTCCACTTTCTTCCCTCTTTCACCTTCTCCACTGCTCTTCTGCTCAATTTTCTCCCTCCTCTATCTTCCCCGTTTGCTTCCTCCTAGGCTTCTCCACCCCTCCTTCCGCCCCTCATCCGTTCTTCTTTCTCTTTCCCCTTTTTTTTCAAACTGCACCACTACGCTCCTCCTCTCCCCCCCCCTCCCCCCCCCCCTCCTCTGCACGTCCTACCGTCTTCTCATTCTCGTTGATTCTCTTCCACCCTTCATCGAGCACACGGCTTCTCCGCTCGACTTTCCTCCTCCTCCTCCTCCTCCTCAGCCTCTTTTCACCTTCGCCTAGCCGTGCCTCGTCTTCCTCCTTCTCCCGTCACGACGGCGTCTCTCTGTTCACCGAGAAGAGGCTCGTGTTTTCCACCCTCGGCCACCCTCCCGCCGTTTTGTTGCCGCCGCTGCTGCCGCTGCGCCTTCGCCTCTTTCGCATGCCAACCGAGTGTAAGCCGAACCAGACGAAAAACAGAGACCGTCCGCGTAGAAACCAGGATGGGAACAGAGAGACGAGAGAGAGAGAGAGAGAGAGAGAGAGAGAGACGTTTCTCTTTGTCCGAGAGTTGGCAGCAACAGACAGCCCTCCGGCTCGAAAGGCCGAGGGACAAGTCCACCGTGTATATGCCCACCGACTCCGAACTCGGCTGCGTACTTATCTCCCCGATACTCGTTCCATCCACGCAATCAATTGCTCTTTCAAACACCCCGTGTCCTCTTCTCCGCTCAAGAGAAGTCTCCGAGACGAGTAACGCGAGTATTAGAGATTAGTAAACATGGAGGATATGATAGCCGTGGAGGGTAGAGGCATAGACGAGACTCGAGTGGACAGGTGTATTCTGCTGAATTGTACCCAAAATATCGCTATCGTACGATGCGCTTTGCATTACGCAAAATGTGTCGTCTTTCACGCGTCACTTTCACTTTCGGCATGATGAGATAGTGTAGAATAAGATATTCCAACGGGATGCTTACTGTATGATATTATTGTAATATAGTAATTTATAATACAGTGACTATAGTGTACTTAGTACGCTATATACTTGGTAATTTATAATATAGCAACTATAGTATTTAGTACGCTATATACATGGTAATTTATAATATAGCAACTGTAGTGTACATAGTAAGCTATATACTCGGTAATTGATTATATAGTGTACTTAGTACGCTATATACTTGGTAATTTTGTAATACAGTGACCATAGTGTACTTGGTACGCTATACACTTGGTAATTTTGTAATATAGTAACTACAGTGTATTTAGTACGCTACATACTTAGTAATTTTGTAATATAGCAACTGTAGTGTACTTCGTACACTTGGTAATTTTGTAATATAGTAACTATATATAGTGTACTTAGTACGCTATACACTTGGTAATTTATAATATAGTGTACTTAGTACGCTATATACTTGGTAATTTATAATACAGTAATTTTGTAATATAGTAACTATAGTGTACTTGGTAATTTTGCAACATAGTAACTATAGTGTACTTGGTACGCTATATACTTGATAATTTGTAATATAATAATTATAGTGTACTTAATACGTTATACACTTGGTAATTTGTAATATAATAACTATAGTGTATTTAACGCGCTATATACTTGGTAATTTATAATATAGTGTACCTAGTACGCTATATACTTGGTAATTTATAATACAGTGCACTTAGTACGCTATGTACTTGGTAATTTATAGTATGGGAACTATAGTGTACTTGGTACGCTATAAACTTGGTAATTTTGTAATATAGTAACTATAGTGTACTTGGTACGCTATTCACTTGGTAATTTTGTAATATGGTAACTACAGTGTACTTAGTAATATAACATTACTGTATAATATAATCCTTCAAATTAATAATTTAATAGCACAATTCCACTATGTATACATGAGCTCACTATTGGCTTTTGATTTTTCGAGAAGTTTGTCCAACTAAAGTATAACTTACTAGCTAGAGCTTTTCCAAGAGAAATACAGCAATGTATACCATAAAAAGGCAGTAAAGCTATTAATTTAATCTTTCTTCTGTTCCTCATTTCATAATATGAAAAGTCAAAGTTATATTTCATTCCTGGGACTAAAATTTCAAAATTTTTAATTTTGAAAAATTTTTTTAGAATTTTTCTCAAGAATCAGAGTTTCGCACTCGAGATTGTCAGAATCATTATTCCGATCCTGTATAAATGATCACAGTCATTAAAATAAATCGTTTTTTACGAAATACTTTTAACAAGTACCAGAAAGTTATGATAAATAGGTGTCACAAGTAAATGAAGTGGAATTGTTAAGTAAAAATATATTCTTACATATTTTCACAAAACAAATAGTTCTTTCCTCTATTACCTTAATGAATGATGAATTAAACGAGAAATCAAATCGCTCAGAGTGGAAATCTGACATTGACTCGGAAGAAATCACATGTTTCTTTTGCCAAAGAATAACCAATAACTTTCGCGCGTTGTTTCTAGAAAATGTTCGTCTCTTGCAAAGGTATCGTTAAGGCGAGATTGGCCAAAAATTATTGGATCACGTAAGCGACAAATATCTCCACCTGAAGCAGGTTTGAAACGACAGTATCGATTAATATCGATTGAAACCGCTTGGAAATGGAGTTTGACACGGCTCTAGTGTCAAACGCAGCGTAATTTCGTTTCCACCTCGTGCAATGAAATGAAATCTAAACTCGATAAATACCGGAGGAGTGAAAACTTGATCCAATTCCCTCCTCCTCTGTTGAAACGCGGTATTTTCTGAAAGAAAGAATTCGAAAATCAATGGAAACGGGCCTTCTGTTGAATCGTTCGCCATTCAGTTCGATAAAACAGACTATGAATTGGCCAGACCAAGCCGGCAGAGGCCTGGTCTCGTAAATAAATCTCGAAACGATCAATGATCCGATCGCTCGTAAACTAAAATTCTCGCGAGAATTCCCCAAGGAGAGAAAGGCGCAAGCTGCACGACGCGTGTTAAATCCGCCTCGATGAAGCTTAAACTCCAGTGAGCGTGAAATAACGCGGGAAAATTCGGGGAGACAGGGCAGAGCCCGCGCCACGTTCGCCACCTGTAAAAATCGACTGGTGGCTTTTGCCGAAATTCAAGCGTGGCCGAGCGTACACGGAAATTGCCTCGTTACGTCGCGTCATCGTCATTTACGGGCTTTAACGAGCGGGCAACTTATGTTATTTCCCCCCTCTCCCTGGATTTCATTTTCCTGAATCGAGAATTCTCGAGACAAAGACTTTTGTAAAAGAAAATTTCCCATTTTGACACTTTTTCAATTTACATTTCCACCAATCTCGAAAATGATGAAATTAATGAAACATAATGACAATTCTAGTTAGAAGTAAACATATTAAAAATCTCGATTCTCATCAGTTTTGTTCGAGTACTTCTTCTTTGAAACGTCCTGACAACCATGTTTAATATTTTGTCCTGAAATTCTTTTGTTTTCTTTTTCTCTTTTTTTACCAAAAGATGGTCTTTTTCGTTGAAAAATCATACTTTCTATTAACAATTACGCTACATAATGTATTTAAAAAAAAAAAGAATAAATAACGTATTGTATAATTGATATTACAAGAATTGAATTATGAAATTTTATTTGAAATATTTTCTTGTTGGAAATAAAATGTAATGCAAAATTTCCTAAATTAAAATAATAATAAAAGTAAATACGTTAATGTAAATTTACATGTATTAATGAATACCAAACGGAATGAAGAAAATTAGATATATTTCAAATCCCACTTTCTAACAATTCTAGAAAAGGTTAAGTTTGGGTTAGGTTTGGTCAACTTTGAATCTCTGTTTGAAACTGAGTAATTAAAAATGTAACAAATTATATAATAAATATTACTTGGATCATTAATACGTTATTTCATTAATACATGCAAATTTACATTAGCTTATTTACGTTTATCATCATTTTTCATTTAGGAAATTTTGCATTATATTTTATTTCTAACAAAAAAATATTTCAAATAAAATTTTATACTTCAATTCTCATAATATCAATTATATAACACGTTATTTATTACTTCACATCATAATAACATTTGATTCAATTGTTTAAATTAATTGTATTTCAATTTCACATTTTACATCAATTATAAATAAATTCTCGTGGCAATAAAAATTTTATACTACAACAAAAAATTTATTTAATTATATCATTGACAGACTTCATTTCATTTTAAGAATAGGATCAACAAGTAAAAAAACATGAAAAATTAAGTGTAAAAGTTGATATCCGTATAATTAAAAGAAGAGTAATAGTAATAGTTATAAAACATAAGTTTCAACACTTTGTTCCGTTATGTTCAACAGACCAAGTATATTAAACATATTGACTTTAATTTTATTATTTTTCACTTACAGTATTACTTCCCGTTCGCATTATAAATTTAAATTACAAGCATAATTTGTGCACGTTCAATATTATTCTATATATTATTACATATCAAATGTTTATAATTTCAAATTAAAAGTTTTATTACCACATACGATTAGTTAAATTAATTCAAAAATATGGTAAATAAATTAATAAAACAATCACGTCAAATTTGTGTTTAAATAAATTAATGGAACGGCGATTAAACGAACACGAAATATATCATGTTAAAGAGGAATATTTACAGATTTCATTGCGACATCTTTCACGTGTCGAGAGT